TTGTAGGATACGAGCCTAGATCTTCGTGATACCTGTCATTCTTTTCGTTTCCAAGGCATCTTGTGGAGGATTGTGAGGTAGTTGCTTGCCATCTCAGCGAACTTTCCTACTCCAATTTATGACTTTGTTTTTACTTGAAAGACAACTTCATTTTAGACTTCTATTTTATTTCAACTCTAATATTTACATTAGAGGCTTGTGTACGTGACAACCTGATTTTGGGGATTGGATTAATATGACTTGGTTTCATAATAGGAATTGTTGTTGGATTGTCATTTACTTCCGCACTTTGTTAGATATTTGGTTTTAGGCGGACTTGTCTTGGTGGGATAAGACGAGTGTCATCACACCCATTTTTGGGTCGTGACAGTTTTAATAAGTTTGGGGCTTGGAGTTAAATTTTATTAAAAAAATCTTTAATTAATTTTTTTACATTATGAAATAAGAATGTAAGCAACGTAAATTTTCAACGAAAATATAATATAAAGTTAGAATAATAAAATCTAACTCGAGAAGTTGATGTAGCGATATTAAAATAGTGTTCTATTGAATTTGATAAGTGAATATAATTTATTTTTTTGGTAATGAAATTAGGTTTATTTGACATTTGGGAGATGTCAAAAAATTCAATAAAGAGAATATAAAAATAATGAAAGTGGAATTAAAAAGATAAATGTTTGAATAATGTGAGTTCGTGTTCATCGTTGGGATATAATTTTGTTAGCATGATCGTGGTGTTCGGGCTAACTTTCACATACCTTGATTAATTTCATGAGATATATGTCATTTTTCACCAACAATAAATACCAGCAGGTAACTTTGTCTATCAAAACTACGACAGATGAAAAATTCATGTATTATTTTTAATCTCTTAGTAATAAATAATGCTATAAACATTAACACAAACTTCATTAATGTCTATAGCTTTTTACTTTTATCAAACATAATCAAACCGTTATGTTTTCAAACTAGTTTAATATCAATATTGTATTTGTTCTAGGATTTCTACGTTAAAAATTTGTGTTGGATATAAAACTATATGATCAAACCATTAAAATTGTGTCCCCACAATATATGCACCATACTTTTGTTTCCATGCTATTATAGATAATTAAGTCAAAATATTTTGACAAAGTTACACTATATTAATATTATTTCCAATTTCATTTTTTTTTAAAGTTAGACTGTTGATCTGCATACAAAAAAGGTGTATGCTTGAGTACAAACATATAACAAAATTTAAAAATTAAATATAATGGACCAATTGCAAATCTTTTTCATGATCGTGCTTGTGGACAACATACCCCTAATAAGCCTTTCAAATCTATAATTATAATTGTACTTTTTGCCCACTTGTAAAACAACTTGCTCTCTTGTTTAATCCAATAATTGCCTCTTCCATTATTACATAACTTTCTTCTTAATTTAATTAAATTTTTCAAAATGTACCCTTCCTCTTTAGGGTGGTAACACATATATATATAGTTTTTTCCACTCATATATTCTTTAATATACATTATTGTTTTATATCTCAATTAAGAAAGTATCAAAGAAAAAAAATGATTTTGAAGATTCAAGACGAGAAACAAAGTTCAGATTCAGTAGAATCATCAATATCACTCGAAGACACTTCCTCAAGTGATACTTATTCTTTCAATAAGGAAAATGGCTTTCATTCAGAACGACCTAAGAAGGAGATAAAACACTATATAGGTGTTAGAGCAAGGCCATGGGGAAAATTTGCGGCTGAAATTAGGGATTCAACTCGGAATGGAATTAGGGTTTGGCTTGGAACATTCAATAGTGCTGAAGAAGCCGCGTTAGCTTATGATCAAGTTGCATTTTTAATGAGAGGTCCAACAACTTGTCTAAATTTTCCAGTTGAAAGAGTTAGCAAGATGTTGGAAGAAACAGAAATTTGCAATTTCTTCAAGAATGGATTGTCACCAGCAGCAGCCTTAAAAGAGAAACACAAAAGGAGAAGTAGTAGTAATATTTCAAGAAAAAAGAAACAAAAGGTAAATCATGAAGAAGAAATTAACAATAACAATAATAATAATAATAATAATGTTGATAATAATAATAATAATAATAATAATAATAATAATAATAATAATAATGTTTTTACATTTGAAGATTTGGGAAGTGAACTATTGGATGAACTCTTGTCTGAGTATTCTAATTCAAATTAGAATACTCAATTTCCATATCTAGTTAAATTTGTCCATTTAGTTTTTTCAATGTTATATTCCTTCTTGTTCATTTTAATTTTTTTCAATTTAGTGTATATGTTTCTTTTATATATATTTAGAGGTTGATTAGCCTTGAAAAATATTTTTTTCTAATTTTCTTATATTGGGGATTATATAAAGAAATCGATATTTATTTATTTTTTCTGGAAAATATGATTAACTTTTATAAATAAGTAAAATGATTTTCCGGGTAAAAATAGGAAAAATAAATATCACAAGTGATATATTGGTATTTTATATTGATTGTGTCATTCGACATACTTCATCTTCACATCACCACACACTTCATTATTCATTATATTTAACCTGATTATATATACAAGTACTTCTAAGATAACTAGTTTTTGCTTACTGTCCAAACACACCAAAAAAATAAAAAATATTTTTCTAACAAATAGAAAAATATTTTCTCTCATGAGCGCGCTCTTACTAATTAATTAATCAATTATGTTAGTAGCAGTCCTCAAAAATATTAATGGACGTGTATGAAATTCTTCAGTAATTAACCTTAGTGTGCCAAATTCAGGAGTCCGGAGCCTAAAGGGTATAAAATATTAACAAAATTCCAAAAAGATATATATGAAATTTTATATTAACCAAAACGGCAAAATTAGCTGTCTAGGCAGCGATTTTAATTTTTTTAAAAAAACACACATTTTGCAAAATCGCTGTAGCAGCAATTTTGCTTTTTTCGGCGAAGGAAATCGCTGTTATTCCAGCGATTTTGCCGTTTTGGTCAATATAAAATTTTATATACCGTTTTGAAAATTTTATTAATATTTTATACCATTCAGGCTCCGAACTCCCAAATTCACGGTGTACAAATGTAAGTTTATCAATTTATTTATTTGGCTGGATACGAAATGTAAGAATCAAATTAATAATATTTTAAATAGATTCAGATATAAAATTTAAATATTTAAAGAAAACATAAAAAATTATAAATTATAATAGATAATAATTCATATCATCATTTTGATTTTTAAATGTTAACTGTGATATATTTAAATTCATATGCTTTCAACAAGATGAGAGTGATCTTAAGAATCGTTTGACTCACGATATAAGAAATAATAATTTTGAAATAAAAACAATTAACTAATTTTGTGTTTGGCAAGATTAGTATTTTCCCCATAAGCAATCCACAATAGTTACATCACATTTTTTTGTATTTTCTTTTTTTTGTGTCACATTCCATAAGTAACAGAAATCAATAATTCAAATAAAAAAAATGGAAAATAAAATGGTATATCAAAAAAAATTTACAACTTATATCTTAGTGAAATTAGGTCTTAGGCCTAACTAATATCCCAAACGCTGGCTCAAACGGAGGAGGATTGCCCAAGCCTTATAAGGAGTCCACCCATTTTATTAACCATTAATGTGAAACTTTTGTCATTCTTTAATACCCCATCTCACGCCCAGTGTTTAGCAACTAGTGCGTGGACAATTTTGATTTTAGGGATCCCAACATCGGGTGAGACGGGCTCTGCTCTGATATCATGTGAAATTCTAGGTCTTAGGCCTAATTATGAAATTAGGTCTTAGGCCTAACTCATATCCCAAAAGCTAGCTCAGAGGAAGGAGAATTGTTCAAGCCTTATAAGGAGTCCACTCATCTCAATAAGCACCAATGTGAGACTTTTGTCATTCTTTAACACCTTATCTCACGACCAATACTTAACATTTGATGCGTAGGCAATTTTTATTTTTAAAAATCTCAACATCAAGTGAGACAGACCCTGCTCTGATACCATGTCATCCGATTTAAGAGAAAGAAAAATTCAGAAAAAGAGTGTCTATAAACCTGCACCATGCACTATATATACACACTAAGTAGAATGAAAGGGACCAATCAATGTGGTGGAATTTGATCAATCAAAATTTATTTACAATTTTAATTTGACACTAGTAGAAACAAATATTTTTTTCTATTTTGGGTCAATACTGGAAAATTTATATTTTATAAAAATATAATTTTTTCTATCATTTTTTATTGAATCAACTTACTGAAAAAAATATATGAAAAAATATTTTTTTATTTAAATAGTAAAATAATTTACGTCGTATAAATTGAGATCGGGGAGTAAATAATTGGCAGTGGTTCTCCTTGTGTCTAGTATATAGACAAAGCACTAGGTAAAAAATGAACCATCAATCTCAGTACTCACATTTATGATTTAGAACAAACATTATAAAATTCCAAAATAATTTTAAATTGACCCCACTTTTCCTTAACAAATAAAATAATTAAACTATGTGCAACGTATCTCTAAGTTCTGATTTTGACAAAACCTACTAGACTTCACTAAGAAGACTGAAAATATAAGTTTTTTGAATTTTGACTTGATTGTTATGTATTGATTTGATACATATTTTTTTATTTATAATCTTAATGTATTACTTTGTCTATTTGAACCAATTCAATTATACTATTTGCAATCGCTTATTATAGATAATACCTTGAAAAGTATTTATGAAGCGAGTTTCAGTGTAGAATGAACCATAAATATTTGAAACACAAATAAAAAATGTAAAATAGGGTATACATTTTAAATTTGAGGGATAAATGTAAACTCATGGGGTATACATTTTAAATTCGAGGGATAAGTACATCTTAAGCGTCATTTTTTATTTTGTTATTTTAAAAGTTATTTTGTAATAAATCATGTTTTTATATGTAATGATATTTATACTTTTATTGTGTTATGTTTTAATGTTTTATCTCGTAGTGATTTTTTCTAAAATATTTAAAGAAAGAAAGAAACTTTCATATAAGACGACGTTGTATTTTTTTTGTATAGTAATCTTTATCAAATGAAAAATATAATAACTTATTTTATATAATTAGTTATTTGTTTGGATTATATGCAGAATTATTGAATTTCTTTTGCCAATTTTTGTAATAATAAAATTATATATATAAAAAAGAAAATATGTAAGATTTACGCCTCAAAAATTCATTAGACTTATGTTTCGCTTTGTATTGTATAAAAGTTTTCATCTCGCTCTTTCCATCTTTTAAATCAATTGTTATAACTATCCATCATCTTTAATTAAGAATTTGATTTAAGTCCCTAATAAATTCACATTTAATAAAAAAAAAATATTTTACCTCAAAAGAAAATTATCTGACACAAATTTAAATATTTATACTCTTTTTGAATGATAAGATCTTGTTTCTTTCCAACAAGCATTTCACTTTCACCTCTATAATAAAAAAATAATTTCAAAGAAGAATAATGACACTTGATGAAAAAATAAATTATTCAAATTTCAAAAATTAAAAAAAAATCGACATCAACTCTTTTAGTATAAGTAGAGACAAATGAATAAGTTAAAGAAACAACTCTGTCTTTTTCATATTAAAGTATTTAAAGAAGAATGTATAAAAGATATTGTAAATTATTATTATTTGGCCAAGTGCCTATACTTAATTATTTAATTAATAATGCAATTTCCCCAAGAATAATGTGAGTTGGTCTCCTTATGATGAGTAGAGAGACAATAAAATGGGATTGTAGGTGTAAAGATTGTTTATTATAATATATAATGTTTGTTATTAATATTACTACTATTTCATAGTGATGATGGAAGCCATCTTCAAGATTTTATGACTATGTGACAAGTGACAGCTAATATACTATCGAAATGGGAATCATAATTGAAAATGAAAGTGTCAATAATAGTAATTAATAAATATAGTAATTAATAAATATTGTTTCGATCATATTTACGTGATATTATTTAATTTTTAAAAATAAATTAAAATGCATTAAAAGAAGCAAATGATTTCATATCATTATAAAAGTTTTTCATTAATTGTAGTATTAAAAAAAAATTAAAATTATTTTTTTAAATACTAAATATATTATTTTTCGCTGAATGAATTAGTTAAAAATAATGTCATATAAATTAAAACGAAACAAATGTTTACATTGTCATTTATAGGGGGGTTTTGTCTTCTTTTGAGAGAGATCGATATTTCTATAATTTATTTTTATTTAGTTTCGAACCTCATTTTCTTCTACTTGATATATTTTTATAAATATAAAAATAACTTGATATATTCATCAAACACTTTGAAAATAAGGGTGGATCTACGTAGAGTCTTTCGAATCGGGTGTTTGAATATCTATCAATCTGGTCTCGTAATATATATATTAAAAGGTATTGTACTAAAATTAACATCGAGTATTTAGTGAACAAATGATTTGACATTCTTGGGTGGTGTTCAATGCTCTTTTAGAAATTTTTAAGTTGAGTTTAAATCTCACTCTTAATATTTTTTTTTATATATTTTTAACTTCTTTATTGAGAAAAATATCAAATTCATACCCAATAATTAAAATATTATGATGTGCACAAATCCATCGAACACAACACTATAAATGTAAATTCAAGATTTTGAATTTTCCCTACGTGACAAGTGACAACTAATCTAAGAAAGAAAATCAATATAGAAAAGAAAAGGAACAAAACATTATTTCCTATATTTAATTTGTACGACATTATTTTGTAATACTACTCTTATAGTTATAAAAATACTAGGAAAAGTATAATACTTTTTACCTTCTTTTTTTTTAGTACATAAAATTTAATTCGTACTATCTATTTCTTTTTCTTTCCTTTTACAATTCGAAATTCTCTTCTACTTGTGATAAAAAGAATTGTTTAATATTTTTTTTTTCAATAATGGCAATTCTCACAGATTACCAAGAAGAAAATCAAGAACAAACCATGGAGATCATTGAGAAAGAACAAGAAAATTCTTCTACTTTAGCCCCTAAAGAAGAAGAAATTACATCTTCAACCCCAAAAGAAGAGAAACTTGAGCCAAATACGTCCAATGGACTTGATATGGAGAATTATTCATGGGGACAATCTCTTCAAGAAGTTACCACCAATGTTCCTGTTCCTCAAGGTATAAAATAATTTAATTTATTACATGTTTTATAAGGCAAAAAGAAATTTTTTTAACTATGTATAAATCATAGTATGACTTTAATACGTCTAGGAGTTGCTTTAGATAATGTTTCATTCAGATTACGTGTTTAAACTTCGATCGAGACAATCTATTAATACTTTTTACATAGATTATTGATTTTTTTGTTATTGTCATATACAATAAATTATGTGATTAATAATATCTGATTTATTTTATTTTATTTTTTACCTTAGGTACAAAATCAAGATTCAATAATTGTGGAAATCAAGGCCAGTACTCTCAAAGTTGGACTAAAAAACCAACCACTAATATTAGATGGTTAATATTTCAAGGGAGTTAAAGTTGATGAATGTTATTGGAGTTTAGAAGATGAAAAGGAATTTAACTTCATCTCAAATCAAAATATGAGAAATTAATTAAAGCGAATTAAAATATAATAAACACTGGGGAGGAGCAATCAACCATAGGTAGATGTGGCATATTTGATTTGAATCATAATAATACTCTAACAAATGAATTAAAGGCAAAAGAAAAAGTCCAAGCTAGCATTTAATATTTAATAATGATCAAGTTTCTAATCGAAATCTTGTTTTTTTTAAAAAAATAATAATAATTTATATTTTGGAAAATGGTTCATATTTGTATTTTAATTCTTAGAAGAGAATCATATTTATCCTTCATCATATTTTTTTGATATATTTGTCTTTACCATTCAAATTTAGGTTCATATTTGTCCATATACAGTTAAGTATTGTATCACCATTTTTATTAGTCCACGTGGTGCCTATGTGGCTTCTTGTGTATATATTTTTATTATAATTAAAATTTTACTTTTTATTTAGTATTTTATCCGACCTATTTAGTAAAATCTGTCCCAAACAAAATAAAGACCTATTAACTCGATTTCAGCACCCATCCAATCAGATTAATTTAGCCATCAAAACATGGTTATACGGAGACAACCGCCTTCAACTTTCTCTCCATAGCTTTACAAGATCTCAAAAGAAGCATTTTTTTATCCTACTAGTACATTAGAGAGGTGAGAGAGGCTGGTTATATAAAATTTAATAGAGCTAAATGTTGGTCGAAAAAGAACTGATAGGAGATGATTAGATGAAAAATAACATAAGTATAGTTTACTATCAAAATAACTCTAAATGCAGAAAGATATAAAAATTAAAAATTAGATTAAAAGAATATCAAAGAGGTTTTGACAAAACTAAGCCATAATATAAAGCAATTCACTCAAAATAATACGTTTCTCTAAAATTTTATAAAACTAATATAAACGTATTTCACAATAATGTTTTAGAGTATATTTTATTTTTTTAAAGCTGGCGGCGTTAGATTGATACACGTTACTCATAGTAAAACGTTACTCAAAATGACGTTTTAGGAGTAAAACGATACTTACAGTTACGTATATCAACCTAACGCTATTAGTATTTTAAAAACGAAATATACTCTAAAACGTTATTCATGAAATACATTCATACTAGTTTTATAAAAAAATTTAAAAAATATATTATTTTGATAAGTTGTTTTACATTATTATGACTTAGATTGGTCAAAAATTCCCAAAAATTTTTTACCAAACTAAATCATGATATAAATAATACCAAATAACCAAACATTATCCCACTTCAGGTAGGACATGCAGGGCTAGCTCAACCTCATCTTGGCCTTATATTAATTAAAATAATTATACTATATAGTTTTAAGATAACAAAATTTCTAGAGACTAGACGTAATTTTAATACATGCCAAATGAAATTGGATGTATAGAGTTGGTTTATTCTTAAATTATTCTTCTTCATCGTGATGTAACCCATCTCCCATATATTATTATAATATTAATATATTGTATTCACTAATATAAATTCAAGATTGAGACTTTTTTATTTATGACAAGTGCCAACTAATCTTAGAAAGAAAATCAGTATTGAAAAGGAAAGGGCCAATAACAGTACTTCTTTTTTTTTTTAAATGCATAACACATTAATATTCTTTTTTAACTTGCTTTGAATTACATTTATGCTCTTCAATTTTGGGTGTGCACAAATAGACACTTAAACTTGTATAAAGTTAAATAAATAGATACACATGTCATCCTACATGTCATTTTTTGTCTTATGTGTATTGTGTCATGTAAAACTCATGTGTTTATTTATTTAAAAATTGGATAGTTTAAGTGTCTATTTGTGCATTACGAAAGTTGGAAGTCAAAGTTAAAATTTGAAGTCAAATTTAAGGTCTAATATATGTATTATGTATTTTTTTAAATATAGAAATCCTTTTAACTTTTAATTTTTTATTTCATTTTTATTCATATATTTTCGATAACAACCAAAAAAACATTATAATTATTTTTAATATTACAAGATTTAAAGGGGACAAATTTTCAACAATAGATAGATGTAGCATATTCTATTTAGATCATAATAATACTCCAAATGAAGGTGCAAGGACTATCAAATCAAAGACTAAGCTAGCATTTACTTTTTTGTAAATGATTAATTTTAGACCAAACATGATATAATTTTGAGGTCGGCTATAATATAGTAGAGGTAGAGGTAAATTGGAAAAAAAAATAGCGGAGGTGATTATTAGACTAAATATAATATAATTTTAGCCTAATGATCAAAGTTATAATTTTGAAAAAAAAATATTAGAGATCAAAGATTATAATAGAAAAAATAGATAGTTGAGTATTGTAATTTTTTCTGTGAGAAAAACAATGTGCTAGCCCATCTTCTCTCCACCTTACTAGTAGTATAATACTTCCTTCATTTCATTTTACGTGGTATTATTTTTTTTGTTCAATTTTAAAAAGAATGTTATATTTTTTTTATTTTTAAATATTTAAATCTATATTTTCTTTAATCTGGTTGATCCCACATAATTTTAAAAGTAATACTCAAATATATATATAAAAAGAGAGAAAAGTGAAGCGAAAAGCAATTTAATAAATATATTAAAGTCTTCATTTATTTTTTAAACTCTGTATCTGGTTAAATATTGTCACATAAAATAAGACGAAAAGAGTATTTAATTAATAATCGCGATGCTTATTCTCCAGCAAGCATATTTTATTATTTTTTGCTTTATTTATTTTATAATAAAATATTAGTACTATATATTTCTTGAAACTCAACGTTGAATAACTGAGTGCGAAACTTAAAGGGTACAAAATATTAACAAAAATTTTAAAATGGTATATAAAATTTTAATAAAACCAAAACGGTAAAATCGTTGCAGATGCAGCGACTTACCTCACCTGAAAAAGCAAAATCACTGCTTGCAAAAGTTATTTTTTTTAATAAAAAAATGAAATCGCTGTAAAAGTTATTTTTTTAAGGCAGCGATTTCAAAATTTTGTTTTCTTAGAAATCGCTGCCTTGGCAACGATTTCATTTTTTTTTAATTATATTTTTTTTTTAAAAAATAAGGTATATCGCTGCCAGGGAAGCGATTTATAATTTTTTATATATATATAAAACGCTGCCCAGGCAGCGACTTTATGAAAAAAAATTGTAAAACAAATCGCTGGTATAAATAAAAAAAATTTAATAAAATAAATTGTCTCCTGCAGC